TGTTCCTAAAGTCCCAATGACTACGGGGACCATTGAAGTGTGTTTCTTCCAGAGGCGAGATGTTTTGATTGAAAAGTCTCTGTACTTTGTTAGTTTTTCCAATTTTTTATTTTCAACTCTGGCATCCCCTGGAATTGCAATGTCAATGATCCAGACATTTCTTCATTCTATTACTACTACGTCTGGTGTGTTATGTTCAAGGTGTCTGTCCGTTTGGATCCAGAAATCCCAATCCGGAAATCCCAACTGACTTCCTCATTTTCTGATACCTTCTCTACCTGATGTTCCCATGGGTTTTTGGAGGCTAGCAAGTTATATTTTTTCCATAATTACCAGTGCACTGGCTTTGCCACTCTATCATGTCTACCTTTGTAATCTGTTTGTGCAGTCTTTGGACATTCACTGATGAGGAGTGACACAGATACTTAAGCTTTTGGTTGAAACTTGTATATATAATACCAGTCAATGTTTTTATAATTTTGACTATGCCTAGTATTTCATCATCATCATCATCATCATCATCCAAACTGATAGACACCTTGAACATAACACATCAGACATATTAGTAATAGTACAAAGAAATATCTAGGTAATTGACATTGTAGTTCCAGGAGATGCCAGAGTTGAAGATAAAGAGTTGGAAAAACTAACAAAATACAGAGACCTGGCAATTGAAACATCTTGTTTGTGGATGAAACATACCTTTGGGAACAATATCAAGAAATTTCACAAAGTATTATAAGCAGTTACAGACTTCAGAAATAACATGATCAGAGCTACAAAAATGGCAATGTTAGGAACAGAATATATACTATGTCAATATTTAACGGATACTTATGTTTTTCGTTAAAACTTGTATCTGTTATATAATGCCAGTCAATTTTTTTTAATTGACTGTGCCTGGTAGTTTTGAATAACAATAATAATATTGATGGATTGGATTGGATTGGATTGGATTGGATTGGATTTTGATTTGATTTTGGTTTGGTTTGGTTTTGGTTTGGTTTTGGTTTGGTTTTGGTTTGGTTTTGGTTTGGTTTGGTTTGGTTTGGATTTGATTTGATTTGATTTGATTTGATTTGTATCCCGCCCATCTGGTCTGCTCGATATGGAATCAACTGCACAGAGCAGAAACATAAATTATGCAAATAACTGATGGTCTATGTGATTTAGATTAATTGTGGAATTCAAATTTATTGTAGAAGTCTGCCCAGTTCCAGTCCCATAATTGTACTAGAGGATATTGCTTCTTTCACCTCAATACTTATTCCAGCCTCCAACATTACCACAAAGCTGGAATAATAACTTCAGATAAAGCTTGACAACCTACCAAGGTCTAAGCTGTCAGTCTCCTAGATTCGTTCCATGAACTGATTCCCTAATAGCCAGTCCTTAGGCTGCCAAACAGTGCTAGCAGTACACAAGGAGGAGATAATAAGCAGCTTGACAGAAACCCAAATTTCCAAGGTGTGGGGAAACCCAAGGTTTGCAAAAGAGTTAAGGGGGCAAAACAACAGTGACAGCAACAACAAACATTGAAATGGTGTCAAGAGGACTGAGTATGCTCAGTGATCACAGAGTGCTAAGTGATGGAGCAGGGAGCAAGGAGATGGAATGATAGATCTTGCAAGATGCTGTGGATTGGTGGAACTCTGAAGAAAATCATTCCAAATTCCAGTATTTTGTTGCTAGCTTCATATGTAACGTATTCCAAAAATACCTCCTAGTTAAGAAACAAGGACATAAATTTACTGGGACATATGGTATATCCAGTGTGATGTAGTGGGTAGAGTGGTGAATTAGAATCCAGAAGACCTGGTTTTGGGATGGCCATTCGGCCATCAAACCTTAATGGAGAGGAGAGTATTAGTAAAATCAGTCCTTAAATATGTCACCTACCTTGAAAATCCTACTAAGTTTGGTGTAAGTTGGTTCTGGTTTTACAGCACATGACTCACACATATACATTTAAGAATGCTTTAGGGCATTCAATGGTTAGATTTTAAACATTATTGTAAATCATTATTCAAGAGGCACTGCGGCTCCGATTTAATTGTGCTTTCAAGTGGAATCAGTCTAGTGGTAAAAGAAAATCAATGTCATTTACAGAATTCCAAACCATGCAATTTCTACTTTAGAAAAAGCAGCCTGTGATTTGAGAAATGAAATTTTTACCACAACAAGATAACAATTTTGCTACATATTTTTCCTGATAGCAAAAGTTCTCAAATGTTATGCTGGATATGTAAAGTTCTAACCCTCAGTTACTTCTTTATTCATTCATTGTAACAAGAATCACCATGAAATATGGAAAAAGCTCCTTTTCTCATTACTTATTATGGGACAAACTGAATAGATTTGGATTTTGACTAAAGAACTCGCTTGGAGTCTAAGGTGGATAATTTAAGTTGTTTTCTATACAGCTGGAAGAGATCCTTTAGCAAAATTGGATACTTAATTTTCTAGAGGAAAAGATTTGTAAAAATGCTTGAGTCTAAGGTGTCCAGTAAATCTTCATCTTTATGTATCCAATATTTAATGGCATAATTAAGAGTGCACCCAATCAACTTGGCAAATCATTACAACGTGGAAGGATTTAACTACAGAGGTTACCAAGATGTAAGGCTATATTAAGAGCCTCGTGGTGCAGTGGTCAAACCGCTGTGCTCACGACCTGGGGTTCAAATCCCGGGTAGCCGGCTCAAGGTTGATTCAGCCTTCTATCCTTCCGAGGTCAGTAAAATGAGTACCCAGCTTGCTGGGGTAGCAATGTGTAGCCTGCATAATTAACTTGTAAACCGCCCAGAGAGTGCTTGAAGCACTATGGGGCAGTATATAAGCAGCACGCTTTTGCTTTAAACTAAAGCAAAACTATATTTTATGCATTTATAATGCATAGACCCAATCCTTAAATTCTACACATTCAGTAAAACAATATATAGACAATATATAGACCCAGCATCAAATGCACATTCAACAAGGACTTGTATTAACTCTTGTTTCTATGCTATGTTAGGATGCTTCATGGCTGACCAGAGTAACAAGCAAATATGTCATCCGCAGCTTGTGATTTGGGAAATGACTTGTGTTACCCAAAAATATAAGAATTTTGCTACATACTTTAGTCATTAGCAGTAGTTACCAAGTGTTATGCCCAACATGTAAAGGCAGAAGCTTAAGTGGAGTCCCTGCTGTGAAAGTCCCACACTCAAGGTTTAAGGTTCCCTTCCTCACTCAGACTATGGGACATATTCATGCTACATTTGGGCATGAACTGCTGTTCTACAGCTTGGCCAATTTAGTGGTTTTGTCTGCACAGGTTCTTCTGTGAGCACCCCAACTTCCTCTGATAGGCTTCCCAGCCCTGCCTCCTCTGTTAGGTGCCCACTCACAGGCAGTGCCTGGAGGAGGCAGGGCTGGGAAGCCGCACCAGTACTTTCTCTGAGTGGGAGCCCACCAGAGGTGGCAGGGCTGGGAAGCTTCATCACTGCCTCCAAGTGGGCGCCTGCCAGAGAAGGCAGGGCTTGGAAGCTGGGGTGCCCACAGAAGACGTTGTGTGGCCAAACCATTGGTTTGTGCCTGTAGTGTTCTCTATTTAGTTGATCTATGGTTCTTGTTGTATAATGTAATGATTTTTGAATATTCATGTTGCAGAGAGGCGGAGCCGAGTCAGATACTATAAGAGGCGGAGCCTGAGTGAATATTTCAGTCAGAGTGTGAGATGAAGTGAGTTTAAGGCAGATTGAGTCTCTGAGAGTAAAGTCAGGGTGTGCAAGAGAATGTGTAGTTTGGGGAATTTAGATGTGATTAACTACTGAAGATATTTATGAATCTCTGTAATCAATAAACCAAAGTTTTATTTAAAAGAACTGGAAGTGTGGACCTGAATCTTTCTGAAGTAATGGTGATTTAGAGATCACCTGGTGGCAGCAAGTGTAAAGAGGGAGGTTTGTTTGCCTTCGTGGACTCTGGGGCTTGAAGGTCAAGCAAGACGCACAAAGGTGGACGTCACAGTGCCCATCTCCAGATATGACACGTTGGATTTCTTCTACATTACTAGCATTTTTAAACCTGCACCCTAAAAACTGAATGTGTAATCTGTTCCTATCAATTCATGAGTTTAATAGGTAACTATGCATGGCTTTGTATTACAGCAAATCACTGAGCAACAGAAGTCAATTATATCACCGGCTTCAATTCTGCCGCACTCCCCTTTTCCTCAGCTTGTAATCGAATCTCATTATACAGGGGCGTGTGAGGAATTCACTGTGTTGAGGTTCATAATGAATCGCTTCAGTCTGCAAGACCCAGAACGGAGTGTAAGCCTAGAAACGATTTGTGGCTGAAAATATATGCGTTACTAGATTCGTTGTATGTTCAGCGAAGCAAAAATATGTCTTCATTGTGTAGCAGACATCTGTACAAAGAAAAATGCTTGCATTTAGATTTTAAAAAAATAGGGGGGGGGAATACTTGATCTACTATAGGTATGAGTGGATGTTTCCTACATCATGAGAACTTTTTATTTATTCATTTATTATATTTTTCCAGGGCAGCTTACAATAATTAAAATACAGCATTTAAGATTATCAGGCAAAGTCCAAAGAAACAAAAAAAGCCAAAAAAAGAAAAACCAAAACATGTGGGACCTTGACTATTATATATTAATTTTAAGCTTTCATGGATTATGTCCACTTCTTCAGACATATGGGAATTAAATCAATGAAATACAGACTTAAATACGGAAATCATAAGTAAAAAAATTCAGAACATTCATTGGCTTTACGAATCCTGGGTGTGTGGTTATATCTCACATGCAGTACTTTATGGCCTATGTTTGGAGTTAGGTTCTGTTGTAAACATTTCCACAGGAGAAAAAAAGCAAATAACCAGGAAGCCGCAACGCTGTCTCTGAGTGAGAACCCACCAGAGATGGCAGGGCTGGGAAGCTTCACCATTACCTCTGAGTGGCCACCTGCTAATGCTTTGCAGTCTCTCTCAAATTCAGATATAGAATTCTTCTTCATCTGCTCTTCCACCACCAGTGGTTCTGCTGTCATCGAGAGAGAAGGCTGTCCTTCTTGGTAAATGTCTGCTCCCAAAGAGAACTGCTGAAGGAGAAGCTGATGGTGATGTGGAAGAACTAGAAGACCAATCAAACAGAAAAGGAAGGCAGCTGGATGATAACTGAAGGGGGTGATACTTGGCCGAAGAGCATCTTCCTTTAGAAATGGTCTGCTTAAATCTGTTGACACTTTGATTTTGAATGGGACAGGTTGTCTTTACTTCTGTTTCCTTACCGAAAACATCAGGAGCTGAGTAAGCAGAGACCACAGATAAATCGGAGAAAGCAAGTTTCATCCCTGTGTCCACATCAGTCTCCTGAACCCCTTCCAGGTCATCAATGTTAACTCGGGCTCTTGTCCTGCCTGAGGAAAAGAAAGTGCTTAATGAGTTTGGGTCGCTAAAATGAAAAAACTTTGAAGTCAAGGAAGAGCTTGTGGTAGGCAAACAAGCCAGAGATTTGCTTCGCTGAAAGGAACCGGAGCTGGTAGAAGCCGTGCTAGATCTTCTGGGAAAGCGTTCTCGGCCACAGTTTCTCAGGTCGTGCTGGGAAACAACAAGGCATGGATTGGCATGGGGGAATGCAAGAGTACCAGCTGGTCTGGGAGGATCCGTCCTTTTGTGAAGAGCCCATCGGGTGCTGTAAGAAGGGACAAAACGTGGGACAGGAGTGCTCCTTGGTGGGGACAAGTGGCAACATGTGTTCTGTTTAGCATACTTCTTATACCGGACCTGTGACGGAGGAGAGAGACGAAAAGACACCACGTGAGTGAATACCTGTTTTCAGTGCTGGATTTCTTTGACATGTAAATTGGTGCTGAATGCATTAACAAGTAATACAGAAGACGAGGCCTCATGCAACTGCATTCATGTAAAGATATTAATACACGAAGCATTTAAGGCTACCACTGAAGGCTTGGGAATTCAGCAACATCAGAAACCCTGTTCAGGCATTCATGGAAAGGTTAACTCAAAGTATGAGTTGAGAGACAGAGAGCTAGCACTCCCACACTGCCCACTGCTCTCCTTACCTGAAGGAGTACGGTCTGAAAAGGAAACAGCCTGCTAGTCATGGAGCTTCTTCATGGGAATGAAGAGGAGACAATGATAGGCAATGACTCTCCCTGCTCACACCTTCAAATTAATCCCTCTCTGAATAACGGAATAGGGCTAAAGCATAACAAGCCTATACAGCTACGGAGGATCCTTCTCTAACTGCCCACTTCTGTAGATAAGCTCAGAACTTAGAACTTTTTAAAAGTAATTTTGTTACAGCGATACTTCCAAGGATCCGTTCTCTAAAGAGCTTAGCTAAAAATACTTACTTTTTACTTTTTAATTCCTAAACATTAACTAGTTATTTTTTAAAAAAATATATCTGAATGTTACAAGCCATTGGTCTGTGGTTCAGCACATACTCCTACCTGTCTTGTTGTCACCTAAACGCCCCCAAACACAAAAGCAAGAAGCACAATCAAGAAGCACAATTAAGCCAGCACTTCAATCGTGGGATATCCTTCTCACCATATTATGACCATATGCTCCAAGAAGTATAAAAGAAGTTATAGTTACACCACAAAAGTGAAGTTATTTCTTGTCAAGATACAACTCTAATGATATTTTTTATGCATTTATTAATTCATTCATTTCCATTTCTATATCACTCCATTAGTATTGCCACTCTCTGGGCAGTTTACAAGATGCAATAAAAATATCAAAACAAAATAATAAAAATTAAAATGTAATTATAAAATATAATTAAGCCCTATTGCTTGCTGGAGCTGCTTTAATTATTTTATTACTTTAGAAGCCCTGTCCTTGAATGAATGAATTTGTTTCATGCTCCCTACGAATCCAGAAATCTAACAGACTAGCCTGACTCTGTTTATTTTATATGCCAATAAAAGATTATTATTACTTTAGATAAGAAGGAAAGAAAAATAGGCTTTTAATTGGGGAATAAATATCATCAAAATGTACCCTGGCCCATTATTAGTAGTGTACTTTTGCTACTATGCTTTCATCAATCAGTAACTCCTTAGTGAGGAGCAGTAGAACTCCCTTACATGTAAAGGAGCACTTAGGAGAAAACAATACAGACAAGTATGAATCTATGATAGGGGTGCACCATTCAAGTTATTATGAATGGGACATTTATGTTTTTTACAGATTTATGAAGGCTGTGTCACTATAGCCTTATTCAGTCTTTCAAAAATTGCATTTGTTCACCATGGGGAGTGATCTAGTCCTACACCCCTCTCTTTCTGGCATTGTCACTCTCTTGCATATGAAGAATGATGGCTCTGAAGAGAAGAACCTTTGCTATCCATGGAATATTATGACATGAACCAAGACGTTTGAAAATAATCATACCAACTCTCATGGACCTCCACCATAGATAGAACTGATGTTTCTCTCCAGATATTTTGCTCTCCAAATGTAGAAGTGTTGTAAAAGGAAACAGAGGGAGTTGGGTGGACCATATTGCTGTACCCATGCTAAGTAAACACTGTTTTTCAATTCCTAAACAGGGGTAATATTAAGTAGAATAGTATTTTTCTTTCAACTTTCAATAGCTGAGCAAATAGTTGAGAGGTGTGAAAGAATATACATGAATGGAACTGTAAATGTTATGCTTTGTATAATTTCCTGTTTCACCTATTTGTATATAAAAGATCATGTATCTGAGAAAGTTAGACAGAGTTTGGAATCCTGTTCTTTGTATGACCCAAATAAGAACATTTGGTTTGTTCCATCCTGGTAAACAATATGGCCTGCTGCCATCCATTAAAGAGGGAGAACAATCCCTAGAGAAATTGCAGGGGTCGGGTTTCTTAAAAAATAATCCCAAGGAGGCACATTGGCATAGACAGTCTGCCAGGGAGCAGCAAAAATAATCAAAAGGAATGGGGGAAAAATACCTGCAGAATCAAGGGAAAAAGTCAAGAAAGGAAATGATCCAAGATGGAGGCACAGCAGGCAGGCAGGCAGCAATCCAAGATGGTGGGCACAAAGAAATCAGCACATTGTAATCCCACAAGGAATGATGGCAGTAAAGAGCACTCCTAATTGGGATCCAAGCCCTTCTATGGATTAAAAATTCCCACTCCCGTCCAGATATTCTGATTGGCTACTGAGAACCTTCTCAACGCTACTGGATGAAATAATTCTCAGACTGTTGGTTCTGATTGGCTACTGAGAACCTTCTCAACACTACTGGATGAAATAATTCTGTGAATGTGAAAGAGCACCAGAACATAACACAAAGGAAACACAAAAGAAAGATACAATTTCATGTACCCTCTTTTGTAAACAGGACTAATTTGTGTTTAGAGGCTCTCTGTTGGCAATCAGTGGAAAAACATGGATTACACAGAACACAGCATCTTTCATGTTATGGGTCTGTGACAAGGTTCGTCTTTAGCCGGGGGG